CGCTCGGGAAGGCTACTCTGGGCTTGAAGCGCCCTGAATGCTAAGCCTTACACCCGACACCCCGGAACCACACCCAAACGCAGAAAGCCTGCTAAAATCCTCAACCCTAATTATGTTAGAACCAGCAATCAAGACACCCCAAACGATAGACTCCAAACCCAATGGCCTTGAACCACACAGTCCAAAGACCTGTCAAACGCCCACAGCCCTTCTGAAAGCCGCATGGAAGAGTTATAGACTCCTACAGACACCCTTTTCGAAGCCTTTCAAGTATTCTTGTAGCGCACAGCCCCCAAATCAACCAGCCTAAACCCCAAACCCAAACCCTAAGCCCCAGACCTTAAGCCCCAAACCCTAATCAAAAATTGCTGAACCGTAATGCATAAACCTGAATCCCAAGCCCAGAACCCTAACCCCTGAACCTTAAAACCCCTAAACCCAAACCCTGACCCTAAATCCCTAGACCCTAAACCCTACACCCTAAACCCTGAACCTTCATCCGAAGCCCTAAGCCTAACCTTAATCCTAAACCCCAAACCCCTGAACCCAGTAAACCCTAAACCCCAAACCCTAAACCCTAGACCCTAAACCCTAAACCTTCATCCGAAGCCCTAAGCCTAACCTTAATCCTAAACCCCAAACCCCTGAACCCAGTAAACCCTAAACCCCAAACCCTAAACCCTAGACCCTAAACCCTAAACCTTCATCCGAAGCCCTAAGCCTAACCTTAATCCTAAACCCCAAACCCCTGAACCCAGTAAACCCTAAACCCCAAACCCTAAACCCTAGACCCTAAACCCTAAACCCCAAACCCTAAACCCTAAACCCTAAACCCTAAACCCCAAACCCTAAACCCTAGACCCTAAACCCTAAACCCCAAACCCTAAACCCTAGACCCTAAACCCTAAACCCTAAACCCTAAACCCTAAACCCCAAGCCCTAAGTCCTACACCCTGAACCCTACACCCTAAACCCTAAACCCTGAACCCTAATCCCCCTGACGAGGACTCGCCTGGGTGGAGTCCGCAGTCCTCCCGATGCCTCAGGCCGGAACGGCTTCGACTTAGGGTTCCGGGGTTTGAGGTTTAGGGCTTAGGGTTTAGGGTGTAGGGTTTAGGGTTTAGGGTGTAGGGTTTAGGGTGTAGGGTTTAGGGTGTAGGACTTAGGGCTTGGGGTTTAGGGTTTAGGGTGTAGGGTTTAGGGTCTAGGATTTAGGGTTTGGGGTTTAGGGTTTACTGGGTTCAGGGGTTTGGGGTTTGGGGTTTACTGGGTTTGGTGTTATTGAGGGTTTATAAGGGATACACGTTTTGGGATAAGATGACCCACTGAATGGGACTGGGAGCCGAACTTCGTTTCGGTCTTCCATTCATCCTAGGTCTAATATATGAGCTTAAGCAATTACAGTACCAATTCTGTTTTGGAGGCACCTTGTTATACTTCTGACGCCCTCCGTAGGCCGTCTGAAACGCGTGAAAGTGCCTAAACCCCAAACCTTAAACGAAAATTCTGAATCCTACACTCTCAAGGTTTCAGGGGTTTACGGGCGTGTTTAGATCTTACGGGGGATTAGAGGCTTACGGGTTTGGGGCTGAGGTTTAGGCTTTGGCCTCTGAGACTTCAGCTTTGGGTTTGCGGCGTCGATGGCCTTCTCATCACTGGCGAAAGCCATGAGGCTCTCTACCACCATGTGCTGGAACAGCTGAAGACCGCTTTAAAGGTAATATTACTTTGCAGTCTGGGTTCAGGGAGTAAGGTTTGGGTTTAGGGGTTTGGGGTTTAGGGTTTAGGGTTTCAGGGAGTAAGGTTTGGGTTTAGGGGTTTAGTTTGGGGTTTAGGGTTTAGGGTTTCAGGGAGTAGGGAGTAAGCTTTAGTCTTGTGGTTTGGAGCTCAGGAGCCTTGCAGAGTCAACGTAGAGGTCCGAACACTTGGCCTAAGGCTCAAAGTAGCCCAAAAGCCTTGTACTTGGAGGGTGGGGGACTTAGTAAGTAGGTAGTAAGTAGGCTTATAAGTACCCCAAAGGGACTCTTATTGGGGTTAGGATACTTATAAGTCCCTAATTTAACTAGTTACTAAGTCCCTCGACCCTCCAACTTTGGGCCCGTATAGCCCTGTATAGTTATACGGCAATGAACCACCAGAACCCTCTTCAATTCATTCAAGGCCTTACATGAGGGTTCCACCATAGCGTTCTGCTTTCCTGAACCCTTAAACCCTAAATCCTAAACCCTTATAGAGCCTAAACCCTAAAGCCTGAACCCTAAACTCTGAACCTTAAACCCTAAAACCTAAAGCCTATTCCAGATTCCTTAAGACTTAGGCGGACGGAAAAAGGTGCTTAAAACAAAAAAAAACCCTAAAGCCTAAACCCCAAGCCCCAAAACCCCGAGCCCTCGACGCAGGTCCTTCAGGAGTGAGGCCAAGTCCCAAAGGCGGCGAAACTCGCGGCGAGGCTCGGATGTGGGTTTTAGGGGTTTCGAGCTTCGGGGCTTTAGGGTTTGGGGTTTTAGGGTTCAGAGTTTAGGGTTTAGGGTTTAGGGTTTCAGGGTCTCGGGCTCTAGGGTTCAGGGTCTAGGCTTTAGAGTTTAGGGCTTTAGGGTCTCGGGTTATAGAGTTTTAGGGTTTGAGCTTTAGGGTTTCGGGGCCTCGGGCTTTCCGGTTTTGGGTTTCGGGTTTTGGGCTTTGGGTTTAGGGTTAAGCGTTTAGGGTTTTGGGTTCAGGGTTCAGGATGTAATTGACTTGTCGTTGCGAGCAGGCTTCGATTGGAGGGCTGTTTGGGGAGGGTGTTGGTCAGGGTCTTGTAGGGGTGATCGGGGATTCGTGAGGGTTGAGGCTTCAGGTCTTAGGGATTAGTAGGCTCTGAATAATTGGTAATGGTATCGCCTTATGGCCCCCATGTAATACGTATAGTTACAGTCACAGTATAACATGCCGTTAAACCGTATTCTAACACAGGGTCGCCCCTAAATTGTGTAAACACCGAAACAGAAGGATTCTCGGTGACGGACGTGTAGTAGCTGTAGCTGCATCGAAAGCAATCACCATAATACTACCACTACCGCCACGACGCCGCCACCGCTGACGACCGCCTTCCAGGGTAGGGTGCCTTTCATTTCCAAGCTCGCCTTGACTTTCACATTCCAAGATTTTCTGAACCCTTAAGCCAAAAAAAGACATTGGGTACTTCATTTCTCGCTCGTTTCTTGATGCGGCTCAGGCCGAGGGATTTCGGATCAAGCGCCCGGGCTTAACCACGCCAGCATACTATGTTGGTCCCCAGTACTTGTTCTTCTGCCACCACCAGTATTGCTGCTACTGCTACTGCTACCGCTGCTGCTGCTACTGCTACTACTACTTCTACTGCTACTACTACGCCTGCTACTACTGCTACTACTGCTACTACTGCTACTACTGCTACTACTGCTAATGCTGACGAGAACAGAAGTGAACCATCGGCGTTTTGCTAGCCCGAAGCCCAACATCCTAAAGACGGAAGCAGTGGCCCTGCAGGACCTGGGATTGCCCCGAAAGATGCACGCAGCGCATGTTGCACCGCCCTCCCAGCAGAGTGTAGCTTTTAATCACGGCGTTTGGACGGGTGTAGAAGCCTCTAGTATGGGGTTTTGCATACTTTGTAATAGTATTCCCTTGTAGTCCAGATATATTCGTGGATTGTAAGTATTCAGGCCCTTGCAGTATTGCCTTCCGTGTCCATGAAAACAGCTTCAGCTGGCGCGACAACTCTTGCCAGCCTTTAAGTTTTACCCTGCAGACCTCTCTGAAGTGGCAGTCGCGGTTGTAGTGAATGCGTCACGCCGGCGTTATTTCGCAGGTTGTGTTCCAGCTTACTGACGGTTGATCGTGGTAGCAGCCACACTCTGCGCTTGTCCTTTTTGGATAGCGGTGCCTTTGTGGCTGAATTCAATGCATCCTCGTTCCATGCTACCTTCGCGGAGAGATCGGGACACTGATGGAGACCAAAGCCCGTATATAAGCGCAAGTTAATTGGGGCTTACTTTAACCCCAAAACCTTAAGTCCCAAAGCCCAATACCCTCTTCTCGTGGGTGGTTCATTTTGCACCTGCCGTCACAGATGTGCGTGCGTTTTTGGTGCCCGTTGTTTTGTGCTGGCCAGGTCCTCACATGTCTTGAAGGCATGGCCTCCAACACTGGCAGCGCATGTCCGGTGTTTTCATTTCAATGGTGGTGGCATCACTGTCGTTCGGCAAAGACTGCGGATAGTTTTCTGACTTTGCGAGAACATGTCCGGATAGTTACCGACACAGAAGTCACAGCACGAAGCGGCCAGGAGTGCTCTTGATAGCTGCAACTTTGAAGCTACCCCAAAGCCCTAAACTCCTCAAGCCCCAATCCCTAAGCCTTACACTCCCGAAGACCTAAACCCCAGAACTACCACGGAACTAGGCAGCATGTGAAAGTGATCATGTGTGGGGTTCAGCCACGCAGGTCGACTCTCCCCAAGCCGGATCATAACATCCTGTTGGACATGTATATTGTCTTACTAGAACGATGTTGTCCCTAAATACTCATATCTTCACATCTAGATATCAGTTGTCGTGTTTTCTCCGCAGGGTGTTTTGCCATTGCACAGTGCAAATTGCCTGCATCTCGCTGCGAATGCTACGAGTTTTCTCTGCAGGTTTGATCCCGGTCCCATGATTCGGAAGAAAGATGCTGTGCGAAAACCTGGCTCTTGTCATTTCGTCTGGCAGTGGTTTGTTCATACCATGACCATGTGCTGCATGACGAAACGACCATATGCATTCACTCATGTTTTCGTGAAGCCAGGATGCTCAGGAGCACATTTAAGTTTCCTGATCTATTGACATAGGAGTTTGTCGTGAACTATAACTTGGGACACAACTCATCTGGTGAAGTTCTGTAGCTGCTACCACTGACGTGTCTGATCAGCAACCTGCCCTGAAAGTTGATCATCAGGGCCGCCGCGCATTGCACGTGGCCATGATTCAGGAAGTGGCCCCATGCACAAGGCTACGCAGGCCTGCCGGTCATGCAAGTAGGGTCGTTCATTGCAGCTGCAGTACCCAACATCCTGAACCTTGAACCCTAAACCCTAAACCACTACACCCAAAACCTTATCCTCCAAACCCAGAGCCCTGAAATCCCTAAACCCATCAGCCTCCAAACCCCATGGCCTTTCAGTGCTGAATCCCACTCCATACTTCCCGCTAAACCATGGAATAGCCCTCAAACTATAACCTGCTATTACGATAAAACTGTTTCATATTATGTTGAGTTCTGTTTTTACTATATTATGTCCTACTCTGTCATATTATGTCATATTACAGTGTAGACCAAACCCTGAACTCAAAGCCCTGAGCTACTGCAATGACGGCTGCAACAAGCAAGCAGTGGATTAAGGATGGCGCACACGTCCACCACGGTGCTGTTGACAGTTGACAACAGAAGTATGCAGTGCAGAGATATGCTGCGGTGTCAAGAACCCTGGTTTCGCAAGGGCCAGAGTTTTGGCGAGCTGCGCCGGCAGCTGCAGGCAAAGAGGGGTCTCGATCAGGGCCCTTCTTCCATGTGCACAAGGAATAAGATTGAAGCGTGAAAGGGCTGTTGGTCAAGGATTGCCGTGAGGGCGTTCGGGTGTAGGGTTTAGAGGTGGTTTTTGGGTTGTAGGGTCAGGGTGTCATACACATCCAGGCGCTATGTTGAGAGCAGTCCTTGGCAGTATTCCTGACGACTGCCCAGTTTCAGATCCAAAGCTAGCCTGTATAGCATGCCTTACCCCAAACCCTCAATCGCCATCTAATTATGCAGGCTTCTATGGTATCCAAGGGCAGAGCCACCCGAAGCGCAGGCTGGCAAGTTGGGCCTGCGACAGTGCAACGCAGCCATCAGCTGCTGGGAATGTGTATGGGTTTAGGGTTTAGGGTTTCGGGTTTAGGGGGGTTGGGATCGAGCCACAATCCTGAAGCTTTAGGCCGAAATCAAACCTGCACAACTGCCCCTAGTCGGTCTTGGAATTCATGTTTACGGAATTTTGGTTATGTCCTTGGCCGTCGTCACCGCGGGCCCGGGCTGCTGTTCCTTCCCATCACTGGTGTTGGGCTTCAGGTTTAGGGCAGTCGGCGCTTTGAACCCCTTGCAAGGCACAAGCCCCAGAGCATCAACGAATACTAGCACGACTGCAGGATCTTCTTCCTTCTTCTTCTACTGCTGCTGCTACTGCTACTGCTGCGACTAGCACCAGCGCTGGCACTGGCACTTGCGCCAGCACTCACATTAGCACTCACACTAGCACTCGCACTCGCACTGTGCACTGGCACTAGTACTAGCACCAGCACTAGTACTAGTGCGAGTTCAAGTTGCAGTAAGGATACAAGCAACAATGATGCTGAGCCGATCTAGCCGTCTCTCTATGCACCCCGACTGCCGCTGTTGTTCATATGTAACGGTTTGAGCCCAAAACGCTGGGAGGTTGCCTACCAAACTGTTTACACTGTCGGACAGTCGGGTCCCAGGATTTGGTTTTACGACGAATTCTCGGATCCCTTGTATGATCTAAGGTATATTCCTCAATTAAGGGACATTGGGGTCTCTGGGTGCAAGCTTCCCCCAAAAGAGCCTCAGGTTCCTTGGGGCAAAGGCAGCAATGGCAAGCAGCGCTGCAGCTTTTGCAGGTGAAAGCAGCTTTCAGCTTTTGCGAGTTGCACGGTTAAGGTTGAGGGTTTAGGGTGTAGGGTTTCAGGAGAGTTATTTTGTTTTCGATTTCTCCAAGCACTGGGGGGGTGGTGCAACTTGGGTGCTCCCATCCGCAAGAGTGGGTCAAGGAGAGCTTTCAGGATTCTTTTTTGGGATTCAGGGTTCGGTGCCTTGGGGGTTCCTTCCAAAACCGTCCGGCCCCGTGGCAGCTTTGCGTGACCAGCTCAAACTGCTGCGTATTCTCGACGAGCTGCGAACACAAATTACATCATGCCATTTCTGGCATGCGACATACTACAAACCTTGTGTGATGTAGGTGGTGCATGCCGTATGATGCTGGAAAGAACTCGCACGACATGTTCTAGGCGCTCTGAACCCCCCAACTCCCTAAGAAAGCCTGTATGCCTTAAGCTTGGGCTTTTGTTGAGGAGCTCCATGACTTGAAGGTGCCAGAACAAGGAAGGTATATGGTTCACTATATTTCTTGTTACTATAGGGGCCCTACTAATCACCTATACTAGTTTCGAGTTCCTGATTACAACTGTAGTATGACGGGCCCCAAAACCCCATTCAAAGCATTAGGCCCCTGTATTCTCTTAATCCGCAGCCCCCCAATACCAAGAGCTCCGTTGCTGTGCAGGACCTGGAGTTTGCTTCGATCCAACGCAGCGCAGTTTCCTTCGGTTCTGGCATCAGCGCGTGTGGAAGGGCGAAGCAGTGGCAAAGGCATTCAGGATTTTAGGTTTTACCCTGAACCCTGAATCCTATACCCCCGCCGCGGGCCCTTGGGTTGCGTTTTAGCTTCAATGCCACGGTGCAGACAAGTTTTCTCTACGGCTCTTCGGTTTCGGGGCATAGGGCGGTCCCAACGGTGAGGATCTTGAGCCGTACATCCGGGGTCTACTGTGCCAGGGCTCTGGTGCTACTCGACGACATGCTGCAGGTCCTTGTGGCCCCCGGCGTGATCGAGTTCTGTTCCTGGGTTCTTGTTAAGAAACTTAATTTAAGCTACCATCAGAAGGATCTATAAAAAATATTGTTTCCGTATTATGGTAATTTAATTTAAAGTCCGTAATTAACAAGAACCCAGGTTCCGCCATCACCACATGCGCCAGCACCGGAGCCTGGAAGAAGGGTATGGAATTGGTGGCTTTGATGCGTGGCTCGGCCGACGAATTCGGACGCCTCTCTTGCAACAGACATGAAAGATCTAGAACAAGAGGACAGAACGAGAGCTATGATCATTGAAACCGTAAGCACACCACTCTCCTGGATTTTGATTGCACCGGCCCAGCCGGCACAAAATACCATTTCTCTCGAGACGGCGAACTGGTAGGCACCAGCGGGCTTTCCACTGCTTTCTGAGCGGATGCCGCATTCTGAAATGCACATTCACCCCTTCGGCATTTTGTAGTGATCTTTTTCGGGACTGGCCCATGGACATTTGGTGCCTATATGGGAAAGAGCGTGAGCCCGAACCTTTGCACAGCATGCAGCCGAACCTTCGAAACCACGTGAACACTACAAAAACTTCTTAGATGCAGAAGACACCTTTCTGGCCAACAGCAGCCTCCTTTCCGCGGAAGCCAAGATCATGCAGGAGGTGTCTTTCAATCATACCTTAATACCCATAATAAGGACCTAGTAAGTCCCCTACCCCCTCTAAGGGTCACTATGATTTTAAGGTCCAAAAAAAGCAGAATCGTCGTTGCCTTGACTGCCAGGTGGCCAGGGGGTTCTCATGGACGTCGTCGCATACAACGCAGCCATCAGCTCCTGTGAGGGCAACTGGGAGCATGCTGTGGCGTTTCTACAGGAGATGCAGGACTGACCGTTATAATCGGGTCCGAGATACTCAGAAAGGTGCTGTTGAGATGGCTGTAATCATCATTCTCCGGGACAGCGACTAATACGCTTCTGCTTTTCGACTGGTAGCAGTAGCACTGGCAGTCGCAGTGACAATAGCAATAGCAGCAGCAGTATCAGTGGCAATAGCAGTAGAAGCTGCAGCAGCAGAAGCAGCAGCAGCAGCAGCAGCAGCAGCAGCAGCAGCAGCAGCAGCAGTATTTAGTAGCAGTAGCAGTGTCAGCGGCAGAAGCAGTAGCAGTAGCAGCAGCAGTAGCAGTAGTAGCAGCAGCAGGAGCAGGAGCATTAGCCGTAGCAATAGCAGTAGCAATACCAATAGCAGTAGGAGTAGGAGTGGGAGTGGGAAAGGGAGTTGGTGGTGGTGGTTGTGGTGGTGGTGATCGTAGTAGTAGTAGGTACTAGTAGTAGTTAGTTGTGGTTAGTTGTAGTCGTAGTTGTAATCGTCGTAGTTGTAATTTTTGTTGAAGTAGTATTTTTGCATTTGTAGTGGTAGTTTTCGTACACAACTAGTTGTTGTAGTTGTAGATGCAGATGCAGGTGCACTCGCAGTAGGAGTAGGAGTAGGAGTGGCAGAGCAGTAGCACTCTCTGTAGCAGTCGCAGTCGCAGTTGCAGTAGCAACAGCAGTGGCAGTTTCAATAGCAGAAATAGCATAGAAGCAGAGAAGCACCAAAAGTCGCAGTATGTGTACAGCTAGTAGCTGCGCCACCCATGTGTCTCTTGTTGTGGCCTTAATGTTTCGATCAGGCATTTGCTCCCTAGCGATGGTTCCACTTCATAAGGTGCCCATCCGTCTATCAGCCATACTACAGTATTACAGCGTATTATATCACATAGTAAAATAGTTTCATATAGTGCGACGGCCATAACGACCAAGCTGCACATGCAGGACGCAGCTCTGGAGCCTTCCCTGGTGAGCTACAGCAGCTCCTAAGTTTCCCCGGTAGTACCCTTTTCCCCCTCTTCTTTCAGGGTTCCCTTGTTAAAAGCAACTGAACGTCAGGAAAAAGGGTACCTGCATTATTGAGGGGACACTGGAGAACCTAAACCCTAGACCTTCAACCCTTCTTGGAGTGTCGGGGGACTTAGTAAGTGGGTAGTAAGTAGACTTATAAGTACCCTAATAGGCACCCTAATTGGGGTTATGGCACTTATAAGTCCCTAAAATAACCAGTTACTAAGTCCGCCGACCCTCCAAGTTGTGAATTGAGGGGACTTTGGGAACCCAGGCGCCATCAGCTGCTGTGAGAAGGGCGCCGATGCGGCCGCAGCCGTTCTTCTCCTCGAGGCGCTCCGTCAGGCCTGGAAATCAAAGCTCAGGTGTATATATCATATAATGTAACTTAGTAATATAGTGTAATATAGTATACTTTACTATACGATACTAAACTATAATATGATACAATATAGTATAACATGATATAAAGGTGTTCGGATTAACGGGCGTGGGCTTTCCGAGACAGGATGCAACCACGGTTCACGCTTGGAGCGTGCATGGATGCCTGTTGTCGGTGCCAACGATTAGGGTTTAGGGTTTAAGGTTTAGTGCTCCGATATGACTGCGTTATTATGGACCTTCGCAGGCGGGACACGAGCCCAACGCGATCGCTTGCAGCGCCGCTGTAAGTGCTTGTGAGAAGGCGGCTTTTCTTGCGCTTAGTGGGTTGCCTTAGGGTTTAGGGTTTGATGTTCATTCTAGCGACCTTTCGTGTATGGTTAAAGCTAGCGAATTTGGATCCCCTAAACACCAAGCCCGGAAGCCCTTTTGAAGCACCTAAGGGCCAGCGGTGGACATCAGCTCTCGGCATGCTAAGGCATCTTGGAGGGATGGTGAATGGAGTCAGCTTTTGTTTCTGAGATTGTCGGCTGTTCCCGTGTAGAGGTAAAGCTTAGTATCCAGAGAAATAGACTACACTATACTCTTATATGATACCATATTATGCAAATTCCTCAACCCTATGCCGTCCCTACTTGAAGGATCGTAGGACTTACAGTAGTGTTTGAGTTTATAAATAAGGTTACCATGGATATAATACCTTATAACCCCAATTAAGTTACCTACAGCCTTACATACTGCGTAAGTCCCATGATCCTCCAAGTAGGTCACCCGGTCCCCGAGCCTTGAAACGTCATCCTCGGCTCACTTGGCCCACTTCGACTTCTCACTTTGGGGCCTCTTGGGGTGCTCTTGGTGGAAGTTTCTGAGTCCTTGAACCCTAATGCTAAACCCTAAACTTGGGCCCTAAATCCTAAACCCTAAACCTAAACCCTAAACCCCGTATCCTATATCCTAAACCCGACACCTTACCTTTTATCCGAAACCCTAAACCCTTTATCCTAAACCCTAAACCGAGGTTCATGTCGCGCACCGGACCCGAACCGGACGTAGTCGCCTTCGCTGCGGCCGCTGCGGCCTGCGGCGCGGGGCAGCAGTGGCGGGAAGCGACGGGGCCAGGAGCTCAGACCACCACTGAGCTCAAACCGGTGTCGGATTTGGGGTTTAGGGTTTACGGTTGAGGATTTAGGGTTTAGGGGCTTAGGGTTCAAGGTTTAGGGTTTAGGGTTTAGGGGGCTCAAACCATGCTTTCGGATCTTGGGCTTTCCGCTTGAAGGTTGAATCGTTGAACTCTCGGAACCCTAAACCCTGAACCCTAAACTAGGCCCTAAATCCTAAACCTGAAGGCTCAGGGGTCTAGAGTTTCGGATTCCCTGTCCGACTCCGGAATCAGTAATCCGAGTCGAAAGCCAGAAGTGCACTGCAAACCCCAAACAAGCACTGAATCACAAATCCCGAACCCTAAACCCTAAAGTTTCAGGCCAGGAGCTCTCAACCCCAAAGCCTTGAAGCCATCCCAAAACCTATAAAACCCACAAGACCTCATCCGCAACGGCCAGGATCTCGAACCCAAGCCGCCTTGAAACCCCAAGCCCTAAGTCTTAGACCTCAAACTCCCAATCCCCTAAACTCCAAAACCCAGACTCCTAAACCTCAAAATCCAGATTCCTAAATTCTCGAACCCGAAGTCCCAAACCAACTCTAAACCCAGAAAACCCACGTCTTTAGCCCCGCCCCCCACTCTTTGCGTAAGCCCCAAGACCCCAACCCCCCCTGCGAGACCATGAGTCCTAAAGCCACTTAACGACCCGGTCCTTCAACTTGGGGGTTAAAGGTTTAGAGGTTTGGGTTTAGGGGCTGGGGTTTAGGGGTTAGGGTTTAGGGGTCAAGGTTTAGGGTTTGGGGTGCAAAAGTAGGCTTATAAATAAAGTAACTGGGGCTATAGCTACTTTGTTCCACGACGTCATTGCTCGCAGGATTGCGGCCCAGATGGCTTCGGCCTCGGTCAGTAGCAACCGGATCCTGGTGCTCCGGCTGCAGGGTTCTATGAGGGCTCTCTAAGGGGGCCAAGCCCTGAAACACCAGAACCTTCGGACATTTGTTAATTTCCCTAACCCTCAAGCTTAAACCCTAAACCCTAAACCCTGCTCTGTTTCATAGAGCCTGGGGACTGGTGGGCTGCTTCTTAAGGCTGAAACTTTGTGGGGGATCTGTGAATTTCGCACTCTGAAACCGGAGCTCGTCCAGAATCGTGAACTCTACTTGGAGGTTCATGGGTAGTTATAAGTGGGGGTCATAAGTAGGGTTTCTGTAATGATAACCCATATTAGGGGACTTATAGCCCCACTTATAACTGCCCGTGAACCTCCAAAAAGGCAATTGGTTTCAACAAACCCAAACTGATACGGTGCATGCTCAGGATCCCAAAAGGAACACGGAGGCTTATGAATTAGGTTCCTGGGTCATGCGCTGAGTCGAGACCTTAGGCAGTACATGTCCAGCAGGCATCCATGCAAAGGGCAAGGCTGAGGCAAGGAAACGACAATGGTTCAGGGTATGGGAGTGGCTGTAATATTGCTTGGTGCGTTTTCTGTTATTCCGTTCTGATGTGCTTCTGATTACTTGTCAATTTGATTTTTGGCTGCTTTCCCGGTTCACCTGCCCTGGAGATTCAGCTTACATGCGGAGCAGCTTCAGAGCGCAACCTGTGTAGTTAACCATCTATTCAGTGCTCTGCCTGTGTGCCTCTTGGAAAAAATCCTGATACAAGCTTCACAGAACTCCTTACTTTGAGGATCATGGGACTTAGCAAGTAAGCTTATAGGTACCCTAACGGGGGTCAAAAGTGTTTATAGGTGCAGTTACCTTGTTTATATCTTTCGTTACGAAGTCCCATGATCCTCTAAGTACAGAACTATTTGTAAAACCCTTGCCACAGAACCCCACTCCTGAGGTAAACTCTTTGATCTCTGCTTGCGAAAAGCCGCTACAGTGGCGGCGCGCAGTGGATGTGCTGGCAGCGATGCGCCATTGTGGACCCCGTCCGGATGTCGTGCCTGGGTCCACAGGGTTTCGTTTCTGTTGATTTAGATGCACTGTGTTCGATTTCCGGCGTGGGAAACTATGGGACAGTCGTGCAAGATGGGCACCCAACCTAGCTGTAATCTGTGTAAGTTGGGTGGGGCTTTGCCCTCTTGGTGGACTCTCGTAGCTTTTGGACCTAAACCCTAAACCCTAAACCCTGCACAACCCTACACCCTAAACTCCTAAACCCTAAGCCCCAAACGAGCTGGAGCCTGGGGTGTAAGGTTCCCAGCCCGACATGTAACGACCTTCGCAGCCCTGTGCGCTGAAACCACGCGAATTTAGGGGTTTAGGGGTTTAGGGGGTTTAGGGTTTTAGTGTTTTTAGGGTTTTAGTGTTTTTAGGGTTTTAGTGTTTTTAGGGTTTTAGTGTTTTTAGGGTTTTAGTGTTTTTAGGGTTTTAGTGTTTTTAGGGTTTTAGTGTTTTTAGGGTTTTAGTGTTTTTAGGGTTTTAGTGTTTTTAGGGTTTAGGGTTCCGATTCCCGAAGCTCTCAAGCCCGGACAGCTGAAAGCGCGATGCAGCTTGGGGTCCAGGGTTTCAGGGTTTAGACCCACTAGGTGAGCTACAGCGCCACGCTGAGCGCCGGGGAGAAGTCGGAAGAATGGCGGTGCGTGCTGCAGCTATTCGGGGAGATGGGCACCTCGGCCTTCTGGTTCTGAGGATCGGGGCCTTCACACTCCAAACTGGGCTTTGTGGATGTGGGATCTCTGGGCTTTCTTGAAAGGTTAGGATGTAGGGCTCCTTTAAGGGATCCTTTTCGGGGCCCAGTTTAAGGGTATGATAGGGTTTAGGGTTTAGGGCCGAGGGTTTAAGGAGGGTTGTTAACTGTAAGGGTATGATAGGGTTTGGGGGTTGGGGTTTAGGGGTGTAAGGAGGGTTCACAAGGGTTTGGGGTTCGCGGTTAAGGGTTGAGGGTTTACGGTGACGGGACCCTCGAACCCAGGCCCTTGGCCACCCGAAATCACCCAAAGCCTCTAACAAACCGCATTTCCAACAAAACTTGAAAACCTCAAACCAAGCAGTTCAATCCTAAACCCCAAACCCTAAACCCCAAACCCGAAACCCTGAACCCTAAACTTCGAGCTTCAAACCCTGAACCCTAAACCCTAAACCCTGAACCCGAGGTGCTTAAAAAAAAAAAACCCTGAACCCTAAACCCTAAATCCTAAACCGTCACTGCACTTGAAAAAAAAACCCTGAACCCCTAGAGCCTCTGAGGCCACGCCTCGGTCCCCCGGGGCCTGGTGTCTTTCGATGGGGCCCTGAGTGCCTGTGCCCGCAAGGCCCAGTGGAGTCGTGGCCATCCGCCTGATTAGATCCAACATCCCATTAGGGGATGTAGGGTTTTAGGGTTTTCGGGTTTAGTGTTTAGGATTTGAAGGTTTCGTTAGGGTTTAGGGTTTTCGGGTTTAGTGTTTAGGATTTGAAGGTTTCGGGGTTAGGGTTTGGGGTTTTCGGGTTTAGGGTATAGGGGTTAGGGTTGCCTCTAAACCCTTCCCTAAGTTGCTAAAGTTTTTTCAATATGCAAGAGTTCTGCTTTTGGGAGTTTCGGGTGTGAGGGCTATCAGCTAAGTTTTGTTAGAGTACCCTAAGCCCTTGATCTGAAAGTCCGTTGGGGGCTCTTCCATTACGTACTACTACTGCCGCCCGGTGGTGCCTCGCAGTAGTAAAAAGAGTATCGCACAGCAAAGGAGACCAGGCACCGATGAGCATTTGGGATACTACAGAAGCTTCAACAGCAACCAGGCTCCTGACTATAACTCTGGTACATTGCACCCAAAAGCCCTCATCGAATTATGAGGGCCCCCATACTGCAGAGCCCTTATGCCCCCTGTAAGGGAAACCTTGCAAGGAACCCCTAAAAGGAACCCTATTCTAACTACTCAAGGCCACCCACATTACATCCTGCCCAGGTCTTTGCCTACTCCGAGAGCTGCAGGGCTTCCGCCTCACGCCGAACACCATCACCTACACGGCCAGCGTGGAGGAACCTCTCTTTAAATCTCAAAGCCTGGGATCCTAGGGTTCAGGGTTTAGGGTCCAGGGTTTAGGTTTAGGTTTGCGCACCTCCAGACGAGTACTCCAAACCTGCGGTTCCAAACAGAGATGGACGCTTTCAGTCGCACATGTTTCGCATTCAAACACTTGAAATCGTTGCTGCCTCGCGGAGCTCTCACTTCGCTGTCCTTGACCCCGAACACTTTGCCAAAGCCGGATCGAGATATTCGTGTTTACGGTTGACGGTGCCCCGTCGAGTCATGTCTTTGTGATTTCAAGGCAGCGACGGGCCGCCCGCCCACCACCACCGCCACCACCGCTGACAGAAAGCTTATAAGGTAATTCATCTGCGCACACAACCCAGGCCTGCGCCAACCACCCGGTGGTGGTCCTGGACCTCCTTGGCGAGATGCGGCGCAGCCGCTGTGCTCTTGATGCGGTGCCTGGACCTTGAACTTGGGTGGGAGGAGGGGTGGGGCGAGAAAAGGGCAGCAGGTTCAGCATTTAAGGTTGGGTTTGGATTTTATGGTTTCGTTTGAAGGATTAGCATCCGGGGCTCCTGGTCTATGGATCCTACCCTTCCAGAGTTTTCACCCGAATGCTCTGAATGTGCATGTTAATGATCCTTATGTTGGTGAGCATCATTTGGGTCCATATCCACCCCAAGCCCAAACCGGTATTAACAACTTTCTAGGACTGCTGTCACCCAACCTGGAGCTGGATGTTATAGTTATTGTTCAGCAACCGATGCCGAAGCTCCCTATGAGTAGGCGTGCTCTGTGTTCTGTGCAACTCTTGGGTTCCGGTTCCGGGACGTTTATAGCTCGCGTTTCGTGGGTTGAAGGTCTCAGAGGGCGCACCTACAGGTTTACGTAATCTAAAGTAACACAAGTAGGAATAATTGCCGATGTATTGCTTCGGAGGGTTGTTAATTATAGGTCTAGTCCAGCATAATATCGTAAAGCATACCCCATAACCATGATTAAATGATCAGTGCCCCTATATTCACCTACCATGCTCTTGCTGTTGGGTCGGGCGTGTGAAGGACGGGATAGCAAGAAGTTCCAGCAGGATTCCAAAAAGAGAGGGCTTCGGGTCGGGCTTCGGGTTAGTAGGTGCGGGGACTTGCAGACGGTGTCGTCCGGCCATTCACAAACCATTCATGCAGCTGGCTTTCGAGGTCGCATATGCCACGGCAGCTGCTGCTTGCGATGGTTCGAGCAACGCTGGGGCACTGCTTGATTGGAGTCTGGCCGAAACTTTACAAACTGTTTCTGCCTCCTTCGTTTTGTGTTAAATAGGGGTGGTTGTAATCAATCCCACTTTGTTTCTTGTAGCAGCTTTCTGCCCCCTAAACCCGAAAAGCCTCTTCCGCATACCCCATAACCTAAAAAAACCATAGCACCCAAAACCCCAAAACTCATTCAGGCTCCTCGGCTGCGAGGAAGCAAGCCTACAGCTTCTGCAGTCGTAGGCGCCGACATGATGCAGCGATCCAGAGCGGAACCAAGGACCTTCTTGGATTTTGCAGGGCCTACGTTTTATATCGTAACTTTTTAGAAGGTTCCTGGTCTACTTGGAGCTGTATGGGGGGTTAGATGTAGTGGCTGGAAGTTGGAAGCACCAAGAAGCAGTTGAGTTGAGACTTTCATCACGGTAGTTTTAGTGCAGCTACTAAGTCCCCTGATCCTCCTGGCATATGAAACCGACAGGATCGTGCAACGGGATTCTTTTCAGAACGGCCGTGCGACGAGTGGAACATGGTGTGTGCTTCACACGCGCCTACGTTCTGGTGCTCGGCGCCGGCTTGGTCTCAGTGTCTTTGGTGGGCGTTTCTGCTCGCACAGACCCTTTGGGAGTCCGGATGCGACGTGCTTGTCTTCCATAAAGGTCATCGACGACTTCCCTTCGGCGCTGAAGCGCAGGCTGTCGAAGGACCCGGAGAGAGGTGCCTTCGGCCAAGGTAGAACATATCCGAGTCTGCCTATAGGGCTGGCGAGTTCCAGGCACAGTCGAGGAAGCTGACGCTTGCGTCGCCTGCAACTCTCGGAGCTGGCCATACCAGCGGACCCCGACTGCTTAGACCAGTTGCTCAAGATGGAACTGGCCACCAGCATCGCGGCAAAACTCATGGAGCCCGTAGCCTGGGGAGATGGAATGGGCTGAGAGTTCAAGCAAGGACTTGGCCGCGAAGGCAGCGCCGCGAAAGCCCAAAACCCACCTACAGGTAAGACCTTGAACTCTAGGCCCTAAACAGTGTCATGGACCTGATCCCAGAAAACAGGCGGCGCGCCGGTGCTCTTGGGCTGGTGTTCTGCAAGGCGATGCAACAGAGACAGTGTCAACAGCATGTTCGGCTCTTTCGTCGATTTGGGAGCCTAAACCCTAAACCCTAACCTCAGGCGTTTCTTGACAGATTCCAATACTTCGACCTTGCACTCGAGTTTTATTGCTGAAACTCCCATGTGTTGGATGAAGAGACGACCCAGATTTAAGCTGTCAGCTCAAGCTCTGGAAGAAAGAAGCGGTACTATAATAACGGTTCTATAAAGGCTCTATAGGGTATAGGGTTTAAGGGTCCCCAAATAATAGAAGCTTAGTTCGGGACGTCACCATGGTGTTATTGTAAGTTTACCTACTCCTGTACTGGACAAACGTCTGAGCTGCAGTCGGTCCATCCCTACCTAACAGGCTCAAGCACAGCCGGACCTCAGCCGACAGCTACAGAACTCGTGTCATCTCTGCTGTAACCGGGAAAAGTGTTCGGTGCAGGTTGACTACGTGTGCTGCCGCCGGAGCTCTGCTGGCGAGCCGGTGACCGATTTTTCGACTTGCTTCGAGTGCATCAAAAGAAGGTTCCCATGCCTGCCTCCGAGATGTATTTCCGCTGGGCAACAGCCATGATATACCCGAAACTCGAAACCCTAAACCCTAAGACCTATAGGAGCCTCCTTCATCAGAGCTCCTGTGCCAACCCCTGGACTTGGGTGGTTGTCAAAATTAGGGTCCCTTTTTGGGTCCCGATTAGAGTACGGCACCTAATATTTAGGGTACCCAGAAAGGGACCCTAATTTTGACAAACTCCCACTTGGCTCAATGGACCCTAAACCCTAAACCCTAAACCCTAAACCCTAAACCCTAAACCGACTTGGCTCAAGGCCCAGTTCGGGATAGGCTTTCTTTGGTTTGTGTGTTTTTGCAGCGCGCTGTGCCTATCAGAGCCTTTGCCTGGGCTCCCGGGCTCGGTTCATCGGGGCCTCAGGGGAACTAGAGCTTGAACTAAGGCCCCCCAAAAAGCACATAAGCAAAAATGAGGATAGGGATATCCCATATAAATCCCCTTATAGTGAAGCCCAATAAGGTAGGGATATCCCTATAAAATGCTTATGCTTATGTGCTTTTTGGGGTCCCTATGAACTCTCGCCAGCGTGTACCTTGGGCGTTTAAACCCTAGAACCAAAGTACGCGAAACTGGGTATTAACTAGGTTCTTGTTGAGGAAGTTAATTATTACCAGACATAGGATACCATATTATTTGCTAACTTAAACTGCACTATAAATTCCTTAACAAGTACCCGGCTAAGCCCCCTTGCCAGCCTCAACCCTACAGTCAACCCTAGACCCTCAACCCCTAAAGCCCTAAACCCCTTAAACCCCTAAACCCCTAAGCCCTAAGCCCCTTTCCCAGGACATGCTGGGCGCTCTGAAGTCCGTCTTCTGGCCCTCCGAGGCCGCGCGGCCCACCGAGACGCCTGCCGGCGCCCCAGAGATCATAGGAGGCCAAAGCGGGTTTTATTCTATGGGGGTTTAGTAGGGATGAGGGTTCCCATAATAGGCTTCATTTTAAGGAATCCCTACCCCAAGAATCTTAAACCCCCCTTTGGCCTCCCATCAAGAGACTTCCGGGGCTCTGGGGCTCTGAGAGAGATTCGGGTTTATGGGGTTTAATCGGTTTCAGGGTTGATAGGGTTTATAGGGTTTATAGGGTTTATAGGGTTTCTAGGGCTTCTCGGATTTATAGGGTTTAGGGTTTCCAGGGTTTATAGGGTTCATAGGGTTTATAGGGTTTATTGGGTTTAAAGGGTTTAGGGTTTATAGGGTTTAGGGTTTATAGGGTTATAGGGTTTAGGGTTTATAGGGTTTATAGGGTTTATAGGGCTTATAGGGTTTATAGGGTTTGTAGGGTTTATAGGGTTTATAGGGTTTAGAGGGTTTATAGGGTTCAGTAGGGTTTATAGGGTTTTTCAAACAGGGTTTAGGGTTTAGGGATTAGGGTTTAGGGTTTAGGGATCTGTGATGTTGGCACAATACCACAAAGTAATTTCTTATAATATTATAATAACTTCTAATTCCTTGTCATTGTACTTTACAATACCTTTATGATTCCTGTTATTACCTCATAATACCTCATTATAGTTTCTTAGAGTACCTTCTAGATAAAGATCCTACCATGTCTCTGTTTGTTCTTTGCTGTCTCGAGGCCCTCCAGAATCTTGCAGGGGACAAGCGCAAAGCCAAGCTTCGCGACGTGAAGGCCGAGGACGAGCAAGCAACGCCAGTCGCAGGAATTTAGTGTTGTTGTTTTAGGGTTTCTGGCTAGCCCTGAATTTCCTGAATGATTAGGATTTCCGGAGGGTTTCGGGTTCAGGGTTTAGGATTTGCCCTGTCATGTGTAGGCCCTGTATGACTAGGATTTCCTAGTGTTCCTTAGGGCCTTGTTGTTCTTCTGGGAACTTTACTTTAGCACACCCAACACCCTGTTCAAGTCAAGAAGGTCCCTATAGTAATTCCTAGAACCAAAAATCCGGGAGCATAGCTCCCAACTCAATTTCAGGAACTTGGCTCGAGATTGCTTGTTGCTTGAGCTGCGAACACGGCTTCCGCCCGGAGCTAGGAATGCAGAGTTCAGGCAGGGCAGTTTAGGGCTTACGGTCTGTATCTTGCACCTAGTTGCTTCTTTCCTATAAAAATTCAAGAACCCTAAACCGCACATAAATCCAACCACCATTTCATCTGAAGGGTTGAGGGTTTCAGCTTGCTCCGGGTCAATGGGCACTTAGGGCTTTGGGTATTTGGGTTTTGGGATTAGGGTTTAGGGTTTGGGATTCAGGGTTTAGGAGTTAGATTCTCAGCTCGCAAGGACTACCCGACGCCAGAGAAGTATTTGGAAGGCACGCCCTTAGCATGACATGTTTACGGGTTTCAGGGTTCGCGGGTCAGGGTTTAGGGGTTTCGGTTCAGGGTTGAGTGTCATATCTATAGACTCTAGACAGGATACTAGGATTTGGCTCCGAAGTTTTGACCCAAAGCTTTGACCGAACTTTTTATGTTGTTTAGATTGGTATCTTTTCGGCGTTTTGCTTGCGGCTTTGTCTCTTCTGTTGCTCGACTGCTGTCCACTGTTGGCCATACTTCTGCTGTTACTGAAAAGCTGATGGCCCTACCCTAAACCCTAAACCCTACACCCTAAACCCCTGCACTTTAAAAAAAAAGAAAACCCCGAACCCGGAACCCGAAGCCCTCAGACTCTAAGGCCCCGAACCCTCAACTCTCAAGCCCTGACACCCAGACACAAGAACCCTGAAACCCCAACCTCTAAAGCCCTACAGCCTTAAACTTCCGACACCCTGAATCCTAAAGCCCTAAAATCCCTAAGCCGGAAAAGCCTAAGCCTTAGGTACTGCCCCCTTACAGTAAGAGTCTATAGTAGGGCTACTATTCAGGTTCTGATATATCTCTATTCTGAATACTATTCCCTAAACCCTAAACCCTAAACCCTAAACCCTAAACCCTAAACCCTAAACCCTAAACCCTAAACCCTAAAATTATTACTGGGTCGGGGCCGTACCCAACCTAAGCCCCCCAAACTCCCCCCAGGACCCTAAACTGCCAAAGCCTGGAACTCCTGAAACCCTGAGCCCTACGGTTGATGATATAAATCCTGCATGACCTTAACGACCGTAAACTATGAGAGTTATGGTATATTCCTTATTATGGGTAATGCAGGATTTATATCATCAACCGTAGTGCCTTGAGCAGGGGCTGAGATTCCCACTTTCTACCAGTTCCAGAGCAACATGGTGGCGGACGAGGCGGGTGAACCTATATGAACTTAATCATGTCAAAGTTGAGTCAGTTAGAAACAAAAATGGAAGGAGGAGTAATAAATGACTCAATTGTTGATGAGCTTTAAAGCCTACGGGTTGGCGACCACCGTCTTCGTCTCTTCTTCAAGTTAAGGGCTATCGGCCAGGGGTTTCGGGTTTACGGTCTGGGGCTTTCGGGGTTTAGGGTCTCGAGGTTAAAGGTTGGGGGTTTAGGGCGTTTAAGGGTTTCGGGTGCAGGGAACCATCTTTAGCAGCTCTTAGCAGCCAAGAAGGGTTAAACTCAGGGTGTTGTTGCAAGAGTTACACTTCTGAGATTCTGGCCTGTGGAGATCTTCTCTAATCTGGCCTGAGGCTTGAGGCTTGAGGCTTGACGCTAAACCCTAAACCCTCAACCCTAAACCCTAACCCCAAACCCAAACCCTAAACCCCTGAAGCCTCAACCAAAGTCTGAATACATTTTCAGACGCCGGTCCGGTCGAGGCCAACCCGGTGAAATCTTTCAGCCCAAGACCAACTGCCAAACCGCGGCCAACGCAGAAGCTAAACCCCAAGCCCTAAACCCTAAAGCAGTATGCTCTTTTGCGGAGAGAAGCCGCGAAAGCAGTGGCTGTTCTTCATAGACTTACCTTTGGTTAGTAGGGAATGGAGGAATGGGGTACAATTATAACTACTATAACTACCGCTCTTCCATTCCCTACTAACCAAAGGCAAGCAGAGGGGTGCTGGAGTTCTTGAAAAAACGCAGAAGGCGGTCGTCACGAGCCAACGGCAATTCTCGGAGTCGGCCGGCCTGCTGAAACGGATTCGAGAGGACTGCATGAAGGCCTTCGACGTAAAACGACGAATGTCGACTGTGACATCGACGACCTCGACAAGCTCCGACGGGCCTTTCTACTGGGAAGACTGCCGACACCAAAACAAAGAGAGCCCTCAAGTCCCAGCCAAGAAACCTTCAGTAGCAAAGCAGAGACAAGAAATATACACCATTCAATTCACTGAGTAGGACATGCCCTTGGGGCCTCCAATAAGTCAAGATCCGAAAGTAAACCCCAAAACCCTTGACCAAAACCCCAAACCCTAAATCCCAAACCCTAAACCCCAAACCCAAAACCCCAAACCCTAAATCCCAAACCCTAAACCCCAAACCCAAAACCCCAAACCTAAAACCCAAAACCCTAAACCCCAAAACCCGACAGCCAAACCTGGTGAAGCTTCAGTCATCAGTCATGGGAGCCGGGGGTTCCACACCCCAAGCCGTGAACCCCAAACGCCCCAAAGCCTGAGATTCCAAAGCCTTGAGCCCGCTATAGCCCTACGCTTGATGATATAAATCCTGCATTACCCATAATAAGGAATATACCATAATACCCATAGTTTAGGGTCCTGAAGGTAATGCAGGATTAACATCATCAACAGGACCAGTAGACCCCGAAGCCCCAAGTCTAACAAGTCCTTAAAAGCCCACTGGAACCTCACCCTGAACCCTAGACCCTGTACCCTAGAACCTATACCCCTAAACCCTAAACCCTAAACCCTAAACCCCTAAACCCCAAACCCTAAAACCCTAAACCCCAAATTTTAAGCCCTAAACCCTAGACAAGCCCAATGCCTGAACCCCAAGCCGCGGTGTTGCTTGCAGGACCTGAAACCTGGCATGTGCAGTGGCTTGGAGGCTGGAATTTGCGGGTTCCTAGGTTTAGAGTGGGGGGGTTCAGGTTCAGTGTTTTAGGGTGGTTTAGGATTTAGGGTTAAGGGTTTAGGAGGGTTTTGGGGTTTGGGTTTTAGGGTTTCGAGTCTTGTTTTTTGGGTTTTGGCGCTTGGAGGTTCCGGGAGTTGAGTTGAAGCCGATGTTTGAGGATATGTATATAACAATCTGTATATCTATATCTATATCTATATCTATATCTGTATATGTATATGTATATGTATATGTATATGTATACATATGTATGTATGTATGCATGTATGTATGTATGTACGTATGCGTGTATATACATATGTATATATATATATATATATATATACACATACATACATACCCACATATTATGCGTATATACATGCGCACATATATGTATACACGTGCGCACATATGTATATATATATATATATATATATGTATACACAAGTATACATTTACATATTCGCACCCACCAACCAACAATTCGTCATGCGTAATGGTCGCACTCGCGACGACCGACAAGGTGGACAAGCGGCTGACGCTGCCCACGCGTACGCACATCCGCTTCCTCGTGACCGGCCAGGACAAGCTTGTGCTTGGGTTTCTGCCACCCTGAACCCCTGTCCCGGAGGGATCATACGCAGCAGGTTTGTTTTGCTTCAAAGCCTGGCATGGTCAGAGAACGCCGGACTCCAATACTTCTTCTTGATCAGACTCAGCACGAGCTCATAGACCCTAAACCCTTAAACCCAACATCCCCCTTTGCCCCAAACCCTAAACCCTAAAGCCTAAATCCCTAAGTCCTTAACCCTAAGCCCAGCTGTTGGGTCTCTAGCACAATTTTCACCAAACCCTCAACCCTAAACCCCAAAATACAGAGGCCTGCGCAATCACAACTGGCATTCCCCTATAGCCTTCATACAGCTCAATTATAATATTCCCAAAACCCTGTTCCAATCATTCAGGCCCCATAGTGCTGTGCCCTAGCCCGACACCTGTCGAGGACGTCATCCACTCCTTCTCCATCCCTTCTTTGGGACTGAAGACGGATGCCACGCCTGGCCGCATCAACCGTGCCCCCCTGCAAGATACCCTCAGTCACCTCGAATGCCCAGTGAAGGGCCAGATTGATGCACTGCAAGTGTAGCTATGGGTTTCGTTGCTTGTTGTTGCAACTTCAGGGCAGGATCTCTGTGCGCAGCTCTGGATCCGCAGGGCTATAAGGTTTCTCAAGCTCACAAGCAGATGTGTCCTCCATTCGTCACATCCCCGCTAACGCGGGCATGTCGCTGCTTGGCCGAGTTTGGGAGATCTCGCCCTGTGGAGTGCGGCTACAAGGCCTACTATAGGGGCCGAAATAATGACCAAAACTTTATTGGGGGTTCCTTACTATAACTATATTATAGAGCCCTTACAATAGCCATGATAGTAGCCCCCTTGAAAGGAACCCCAAAACCCCTATTCTATTTAGTAGGGCCCCTACAAGGCCTCGGCCTGGATGGGGAGGAGCACTTCTGGGCTCCGGCTTTCGAGGTGGGCCTTTGAGAAAATTGTCCAGACTCCTCCGATGCTAGGACAAGGATGCTAGTTCTACGGCTCCTAGAGTTCGGGGTTTTCGGGTTTAGGGTTCGGGGTTTAAGGTTTAGGGTTTAGGTTTTTTTGAAGTACCGCAGGTGGATCCAGAGGTCCTCAATCATGGGTGCAGCCCCGTGGTGCACGCTCTCCGAGCTGTGGCAGCGGACACTCTCTTGGTGAGCTTCCGTGACTGGCTTCCTTTTTAAGGGCTTTAAGTTAAATTACTATAATAAGGAACCATATTATTTACCATAGATCCTATAATTTATATAAGTTACTATAATAAGGAACCATATTGTTTACTATAGATCCCTACTTTGGTAACTTCAATTAGATCCCTTCACAAGAACACAGGTGAGGCCGACGCACCCGCAGGCTTTGCCGGGGCAGGGGGCCTCAAACGGGCGAGGAATGTCCGAAGGTCAGTGGTCCCGGCGTCAGATACAGCGTCGACCCATCGAGGGCAGCGGGCTTCAGAGATTTCCCAAGCTGCCGCCGTGCTGTCAGGAATCCCCAAGCCCAGATGCCGGACCATGAATTCAGCAATGGATGCATGGAAGACTCCCATTCTGGAGCAGAACGAGCAAGAGGCCACATTTTGCACCAGAAGCTTGCAGAAAAGCATCCACAGCGTCACTGACAAAGAACACTCGGACTTTTTGTGCCAGTTGCTTCTTTGTTGTGTCGCTGGAGTTCAAGTATGTCTGGAGGCTCAGAGGTGGTTTACAGAAAGGCCAGGACAAACGAGCCCTTCCTTCCTGAGCTTCCTCCAGAGCCAGGAGATTTTGTTGTTGCAGCTTACCAGCAAGTGTCTCAGCCGACTAGACTTGAAAGAGAGCGCTGTTCGGCGCAGCATCAAGCATGCATTACGCTTCTGCCGCGACGTCGTGGCGAGACTGGCGCGACGCCCCAGGGCAATGCCTGCTGCTTGGGATGAGATGCGGCGCTGGGTCGCAAAGACTCCGGAGCGCCTCCTCCGCCACCGTCTTGGAAGGCCGCCGAGGCCCCAACCGCTCCTGTGCTCAGTGAAAGATTGCTCAAAAAAAGGCCATCACGTTCAGCTGACGGAGGATTCCCTGGGTCCTTCTGGATGGCGGTGTCGTCTCCATGGTCTCAAGCGACGCTGCAACGTGGCCGGCTGTGGCCGCTTGAGGAATGCCAGTGTTTCTGAGAAGGACCGCTTCGGCTTGCCGGGAGACCGATGTCTACTCCATGGGGCACGCAGCTGCGAAGTGGAACACTGCGGTCGTTTTGCACGACTGCGTGTTCACCTGCCAGATGAATTTGGCCCTCCTGGGCGCCGCTGCCTTGACCATTCCGCTCACAAAAGGTGCAGTGTCCAAGGTTGCTACAGGCGGGAGTCGATAAATGTGCTTCTTTCGTTAGAAGTTAGGGTTATGTGGTGTCAGCCACGAGTTGGAGCTAAAACGGGTTGGGATAGGATACCGTAGACGTTTTCATGGAGTTCAGGTTGTTTGAGGGTAACAACGCAGGTTGTCCACTCGCCGAGTGGCTGCTCCTGATCACCTTGGCCCAGCGGGCTTTCGCTGCAGCTTGCATGGGCTGCCCTGCACGGTGACAAGCTGTACCAGGATTCCGTGGGGACGTGTAGAAGTGGCGGACAAATACGGCCGTGCCGGACGCCGCTGCTGGATCCATGGAGGAAAGACCTGCAACGTTCCAGGCTGCCTGTCACGGCCTGTCAGGCATGTTGCAGAATCCGACCATCACGGCCTTGCTGGAATCCGATGTGCTTCTCATTCCGGCAACCACCTTGCAAGTTGCGGCGGTCCCAAGAAGCAACACAAACGTAGTGTGCACGCCGGATGCCAGCCCAATGCGCACTCCGACATCCGGTGGTGCCAGCGCCATGTGCACACCGGTATGCGGAAGTGCCAGCCAGCGTCCGTGGCAGCCATGCCCAAGGTGGAAGTACAAACCGTGCAGCTGGCTGAGGAGGAACGGTGCATGTACTCTGACGGCCAGTCCTGGCGTTGCGGGCGGCCCCGCAAAGAAGGCCAGCGTGTTTGTGAATACCATTGGGCGAAGCGGACTTTGTACGAGAAGTTGCGACGAAAGGTACGAGACCAAGGAGAGACCACCAGTTTCGGGAGAGCAAAACCAGATTTGCCTCTTATCTGCGCAGTGCAGGGGTAGATAAGCCCCGTGCTACATAGGTGATCAGTGTTCCGTTGCTCATTCCCACCCTTCGCCCCCAAACCCCATCAAGTCAGGCGATAGACCGGTAGAGGCTCCAATATTCTCTTAGGAAGCCCTTGTGAAGGAGGCGGGTGGTGCGCTCAAGAATCACAGGGAGTTTTTTGGAAAACCAGGGAACCTACTTGAGTCGTTATATGTGGGTCTCTATACGTAGGGTAACTTTGATTATAACCCATATTCGAGGACACATATTCATATATATAACACCGCTTATACTTACCCGCGAACCTCTTAGCACGGTTCAGGATTTGGCTGCTGTTTAGGGTGCAGGGGTTTATGGGGGGCCGTTTAAAAGGCACGAACAAACACGACTGAGCAACACAAGTCACGACTAAGCAACGAAAACTTGCAACTAACCCAGCCAGCATTGTAGAAAATCAGAGGGTAAACCCTAAACCCTAAACCGGAATCACGAGACCTGCTCTCCCTGAAGATGAGCTCGGCAGCGTGAGCAGACGAGAATCCTCCTTCCGCTGCACCTCAGCCCTAAACCTTAAACCCTAAACCCGGAAGTAGCCTAAACCCTACTTGGAAGGGCAGGGGACTTAGTAAGTAGGTTATAAGTAGGGTTATAATTGGGGTAACTCCATTTAGGGTACCTATAACTCTACTTATAACCTACTTACTAAGTCCCCTGCCCCTCCAAGTAAACACCGGAAGAAAAATCCGAGATCCTAAAGCCCTAAGATGCCCGGATATAGGGAGTCCTTCTGCCGGCCTTCAGGTATCAATACCTTCATCCAGCGTGAGGGTGTCTTCTACGGCGGGAGCTGCAGCGCACTGGATTTTCAGGGATGAGGGCTTTGCATGGTAGAAGCGACAGTCCCTGGGTATGTTTGCCATCTTACGACCTGAGGTCATCTTCTCATGTACCAAAACCCAACGCCCTAAACCCCTCTCGCCCCCTTACCCCCAAAACCCTAAACTCCCAAACCCTAAATAGGCCCTAAAGTTTAACCTCCCTAAATCCATTGAGGTCCTTGGAAACGCTCTTGAGTTTGCGGGTTTGGGGTTTTGGGGTTTTTGGAGTTTTAGGGTTCATAGGGGTTCGTAGGGTTTAGGGTTTGGGGTTTAGGGGTTTAGGGGTTTGAGGGGTTGGGGGGTTTAGGGTTAGGAGTTTAGGGGTTTGGGATTGAGGGGTTTAAGGGTTTTTTGGGGTTTAGGGGGTTGGGGGGTCTAGGGGTTATGGTTTGGGGTTTGGGGTTCAAGGGTTTAGGACTAGGCGTTTAGGGGTAATGGCTTGAGGGTTTAGGGCTTGATGGACACGTATGACACAGGACCATACCCTTATGGGAGTTTCTGAAAATAGGGGACCCTAATATAGTACCCCTAACTAGCAGGATCCTTATTATAAGGACCCCAAATAAGGCACCCCGAATTTTTCGGAAACTCCCATATACTCACAAAGCCCAACTGTAGCTATTCAGGCCCCATCTTTTTCTAGGACCCAGAGTAGGCCCTTATTCCCCTTTTAGGGTTTAGGTTCCCTTATAACCCCTCTCTAAGCCAAAGAGGGCACCCTTTTTATTCCTAGGTTACTCTTGGGCTCTTGGGTCTAGTTGTAGTTGTTTTCAATGATTCAATGCCCACCATGTTCTGCACACTGCAACATACCGCTCCCCACGCCACAAAATCAGAATGTAGGATTATCCTTGCCGGGCACTTCTCCATAAGTCTACTAATTACTCACAGACCCCAAATCCGAAACCGCAAGTACCCAAGACACCAAGTTCATTCCCAACTCTTGAAACCCAAAACCGCTAAGCCAAATCCCAAACTCCAAAGTGGGTAGGGTTTACTTGCAGGTTCACGGGCAGTTATAAGTAGAGTTATAAGTCCACTAATGTCATGGTTTTCATCCCCTAGTTTTTACTCCACTTGTGACTGCCCATGATCCTCCAAGTAGAGTTTACTAACCCTCAGGGGAGAAACGAGGCCCTTAACAAAACAAGGCCACTCCGCCAAACGGGGCCACTCGACACCCTAAACCCTAAACCCGAAGCCCTAAACCCTAAACCCTTAAACCCTAAACCCGAAACCCTGAAACCCTCAACACTGAAACCCTGAAACCCTCAATGCTGTGGGCAGGCCAGTGCTCCGAGCTGTGCGGCACGCTGCATGGCTTCATGCCCATTGTCGTTGAGGCCGGGCTCCGCTCTTGCCTTTTAAAGGGTTTTGTGAGCTCGCTTGGAGGGTCGGGGGACTTAGTAAGTTGGAAGTAAGTAGACTTATAAGTACCCTAAAAGGGACCCTAATTGGGGCTATGGCACTTATAAGTCCCTAAAATAACCAGTTACTAAGTCCCCCGACAATCCAAGTGAGGGTTAGGAGTTTTGGGAGGTTCAACTTGGAAAGGTTAAGTGGGGTTGAAGGGTTTTTCGGAGGCTCGAGAGGTTTCAAGGTTGAGGGTGGTACGACGATTCATGGGGTTAGCTCTAAACCCTAAACCCTAAACCCTAAACCTTAGGGTCTGAGCCCAAACTTTGGCAGAGCCCCGGCAAGAGATTCGGACAGAGAACTCAAACCTCCCAGGCCAGAATATCTTGGGTACGGCCCCCACTCAGTAATCGTTGAATAGTATTCATAATATAGATATAGTAGGACCTTAATAATAGCCCTATTATAGACTCTTACTGTATGGGGGCCGTACCTAAAGAATATCTGAAGACACTTAAGGTTGTTGGGGTTTCAGGGTCTGCATGTGGATGGCGGTTGGTGTGATATGTTGTGCGAATCGGAGCCGAGATTTAAGTGAGGCGGCTTGGGGCTAAAAGTATCCTTGCGCATGCCAGGCCGTGTCTCCTGAGACCTACGCAGCCCACGCCCGCAAGTGGTACAAGGAGTGAGCCGCCCGGATCAGCCTTGCAAGGGCGCTGTACGCCCGGGTAGGGCCGAGTGCTGGCGAATGTGACGCCGGCACCGTGGCTGCCGTTGACATGAGGGCTTGCTACGAGAACTGCTTCAAGTCCAACAAAAAGTGCCGTTTGCCCACTGCTCAGTAGGCCTTGACTCCCGCAAGTCCGTAAGTGCCAGGCGCCAGAGGCAGCTGAAAGAGAGAGAGAGTGAGAGAAAGAAAGAGAAAGAAAGACAGGGAGAGGGAGAGAAGGCGATTGGTCGTGTGTCTGTGTCCGTCAACCCGTTAAACCCTGACTGCCGCTCCTTCTCTCAGCACTTGCTCTTTAGACCTCGTATTCCACCTGAGCCCATCGAGTCCCAGCTGCTTGTGCTGCCCTCCAGCCCTCTTCAAGACCCCCAACTCGGAGAGGTCAACCCGGAAGTCGTCCATAAGAAACAGGGTTCAGCGTTTTCCGGTGAGAGCCCCCTGCAAGAGCCACTCCAGCCTAAGAAGCCCTAAGCCCCGATACCCCGCTATGGAGCTGCTGGTGGATTCCGCAGACGGTCAGCTGGAAGCAGCGCTGACGCCTGGGCCCTGGTCAAGGATAGCACGGCGGTGGTAAGTTGCGATGAGAGCACAATTTCACGACTGTAGGGGCCTAAATAATTGCCTATACTATTTTGGGGGTCTCCTATTATATCTATAGCATTATGGGCCCCAGAACCTTATTCTAGCTATTAAGGCCCCTATATTTGCCAACTTACGTGCCTTTGCATGCCTTACTGCTAGGTCAACTCCACCCCTCCTACATTTTATACTGGTGGTCTCATAGGGACCCTTAGGGAGGTTGGGGGCGGGGGGTAGGGGACTATACTTCCTTAACTAGGCCTCATTACGTTCTTATAATGGGCATAAAGGCCCCCTACTCCCCCTGCCCCTACCCGCCTAAAGGTCCAAATGATGGTAGGATTAGTACTATGCCGTCGTCGTAGTATCAAGACGACAACTCAGCACTAGTACTCGCAGTATGCTTCGTCACCGCAGAAAATAGGCGTCTGTTGTTCTGCAACATGGCAAGCTGCACCGTGAGCTTCCAATCCCAAGCTCCGAAACGATGAGGGCCTCAAACTCTGAACCCTCAGCACTAAACCGTGGCCGTCCGGAGGTGATACCATGTCGCTGTTTTTCTCCTCCTGCCTCTCGGTGTCTTGGCTCTGAGGTGCTGCTTTCTGGCTCGAGGGTTTTGGATGGTCCTGTTTTGGGTTCTTCCGGGTTCATGTTCGCGGTTCTGGTTCGTGTGTTTGGACATGGTCCAGGTCATGCTTCCCTTGGAGTGCGCAGATCCCAGGTGTGCAGATATCCGTCGCAGCCGGATGTTGAAGAAGTCCATGTCAATGACCCACAGAATGACTTTGACGCTGCTTGGCTCAGTGTTGGGGTCGGGAAAATTATTAGAGACAGTAATCCTTCTAGTGCCGAAAGAAATTATGTCTATCAATTTCTGGCTTTAGCTGCCCGCGTCGTAAGCTGCTGGTGTAATGTCGCGAGAAGATCAGGCTGTTCGTTTCTCTTTTGGATCTGGTGACCGATCGTAGCATGAGCCAGCTTACTAGCAGGGCTACTACGGGAGCAATCTGAGGAACTGAGGCTTTAGACCCGAAGCCCAGAAAGCAGAGCTGCAACGCTTTATCGAGAAGCCAAAACCCGTAATTCTAAAAACCTCAACCGAGTCGGGAACCTTAAACACTAAAACCCTAAACCCTAAACCCTAAACCCTAAACCCTAAAAGACCTGAGTCCCAAGCCCAAAACCCTCTGAGCCGTTTTCGAGGAGTCGGATAGCGATACCACAGAGGGCGATGACACCATTTCCAAGGCCTCGGGCTCAGGGTTTGGGGTTTTTAGGGTTTAGGGTTTAGGGTTTAGGAGTCTCCGAGTTCGAAGCCCAGGTTTCTCGCTTGTCAGGTGAAAGCCACGGCCGGGGCCTGCTGCGTGGCTACAGACTCGAAAGGAAGTTTCCGAGAATTAGGGGGTGCCTTTTTTTTAGGGCCTTTATAATGAGGATCCTATTATTTAGGGTACTTTATGAGGGTCCCCTATTTTCGGAAACTCCCACTCTAAAGCCGAAGCCCTCTAAACTTACATGTGCAACCTGGGCGCATGCAGCCTACTCGCAGGGGGCTCCTGACAGAACGCTCAGGGAAAAGGCGCTCAAAAAGACACCCCGAGCCCAAAACCCCGAATCTTAGGCCTCGTCTTGGGCCCTGACACGAAGGTAACGAAATCCAAGCCTTAAGCCGGAAGGCCCGGAAGAGCCTCATGGACACACCTGTTGCCATGATGAAGACGACGGCATTGATGATGATGACGATGACGATGATGGGTTTAGGGTTGAGGGCTCGGGTTGAGATGATGAGGCTGATGATGAGAATGCGGTTGTTGGCGGGGGTGCGTGTCATGGCCACGTCAAGACTGCATGGAATCATTCCTCCTTCCACACCACGCGCGTCGGAATTTAGAGCTTCAATGATGCGATTTAGGCTGTAGGCTTGGAGGCTTAGAGTTTCAAAGGAGCGGTTGAGGCTGATTGGTTTTGTTCGGCGTTTGCCTTTTATGCCCAGCTTTCCGAATTCGACATGCTGAGGGCCAATCGAGATACATGCTGCCGCGGAGGAAGCTCACTCGTGTCGAGGACCGCTGTCTGCTTTTGCATGAGGGTGTAAGGCTTTTTCCGCCAGAGAGGGACCTTCTAACGGCCAATCACCTCCTGCAGCTTCTGCAAAGAAGGGAGCATCACGTCGGGTGCCGACGTAAATGTGGTCAGCCATGCCGGTACCCACAGTCTCGCAACTCGGACGGCAGGAGTTGACATGGATGGAGCCCTTCATGAAACAGCACCATGACTGCAAAGGATGGTTCCCTAAGCCCTAAATTTCAATCCCTAAACACCTAAACTTGGACCCTAAAATCCCTAAACCCTTTTCCCAAGGCATCCTTGTTGTCGCTCAGGCTGTGGCCAAAGATCGATTCTGCCTTGCACAAGATCATGAAGGAGATCTCGGCTTGTTCGGTTCCCAGACCCCCTTTGGAGGATCCAAAAAGTAGATCCCTTAATTGGGGTTCCTATAAAGTACCCTTAGTAGTGTAGGGCCCCAAATTAGGGCATCTACTTTCTAGATCCTCCCGGGGGTCTGGGTTGTTGGATGGCTGTTCCATGAAATCCAAGCCTTGTCACCGTCATCGGGTTTAGGTCCTACTAGGACGCGCAATCTGAGTCCACTGCTTACATTTGGCCGGTGCATGTCGGTGCTATGATGTTGACGCTGAGCATGCCCAGGATGACGGTTGGGGGGTTTCAACAATCACAGTCGCTGCTGCTTTGACTGGCAAGTATTGATTTCTACTCTCCTCAATTTCATCGGATGTGTTGCTATCTCGGACTCTATCGCTGCGATCCTTGGTTGGCACCCGAATTACAAGACCCTGAATCCTATGCCCCACTTGGAGGTTCATGGGTAGTTATAAGTGGAGTTATAAGCCCCTTCATACGGGCTATACGTATAGTTACCTTACTCAAAGCCCTACTGAAAACTACCCTTGAACCTCCAATTAGGCCGTTGAAGCCCTAAAACCTAAATCCAAAACCCTTAAACAAACAAACCCTAAACCCAAACTCCTAAACTGAAGCAGACGGTGGTTCCACTATAGGTCCCTTAAAGACCCCTTTAAGGAACCCTTTGAAGGGAACCCTGTTTTAATTATTGAGCCGTTGAAGCCCTAAACCCTCTAAACCCTTAAACCCCTAACCCTAAACCCCTAAACCCCTAAACCCCTAAACCCCAAACCTCTAAACCCCAAACCCCTAAACCCCAAACCCCTAAACTCTAAACCTGAAGCCCTTTGAAGGAGACGGTGGTTTCACTATAGATCCCTTAAAGACCCCTTTAAGGAACCCTTTAAAGAGGGAACCCTGTTAAACTTATGGAGCCATTGAAGCCCCAGCCCAAACCCTAAACCCTAAACCCTTAAACCCCTAAACCCCTAAACCCCTAAACCCTAACCCCTAAACCCTAAACCCGAAGCCCTCTGAAGGAGACGGTGGTTCCACTATAGATCCCTTAAAGACCCCTTTAAGGAACCCTTTAAAGGGAACCCTGTTCTAATTATTGAGCTGTTGAAGCCCTAAACCCTAAACCCCTAAACCCCAAACCCCTATATTATATAAACCCTAAACCCCTGAACCCTAAGCCCTTTCAAGGAGACGGTGGTTCTACTATAGATCCCTTAAAGCCCCCTTTAAGGAACCGTTTAAAGGGAACCCTATTGCAGATTATTAGAATCGTTGCAGCCCTAAACCCTAAACCCTTAAACCCCCTATATCCCTAAACCCCTAAACCCTAAACGTCTAAACCCTGACCCCTTAACCCTAAGCCCTCTGAAGTTCTACTCTAGATCCTCTCACGACCCCTTTAAGGAACCCTTTAAATCAAATCCTATTCTAATTATTAAACCCCTTGAAGGAGACGGTCGAGCCCAAGATCCAGGACAAGGTCCCCCTGCCGCTGAAGGGCCTCACCTTCACGAAGTTTACCCTCGGCAAGACGACGCTCGGGATGGTTTAGGGTTTAGGGTTCAGGGTTTAGGGTCTAGGGTCTAGGGTTTGGGGTTTACGGTTTAGGGTTTAGGGTTGAAGTTTACCGTGTTAGATAGGGTTGAAGTTTACCTTGGGCAAGGGGCAAGACGACGCTCGGGATGTACGGGCCCGAATCAATACGGATAGTCACTATTCCTAACATGAAGGCCCCTATATTAGGGTTTAGGGTTTTGAACGTCGCTCCCCCGCTCATCAGTCTTAGGCCGACATGGCGGAACTGCTAGCTTACTACAGGGGCAGACGCACTCGTGAGAGTAGCCCGTAGTAATCGCAGCAGCAATATGAGCAGCAGTAGCGCGAACAGCAGCAGCAGCAGCAGGAAGAGGAAGAGAAGGAAGGAGGAGCAGCAGCAGGAGGAGGAGGAGGAGGAGGAGCAGGAGCAAGAACGGGAGGGCCTTGTTTTTGTTTCAGTGTCTCCTGCACTTTCATGAAAAAGACGATGGGAACAATGCAACTGTTATGATGGTTGCACAGTCAAGCAACAATATCAGTAGACATGGCCAGAGCAATAAAATAGTGACAGCTATGGTAAGAATAGCCATAAACGGAACACGCTTGGCAAGGACAATACTGCAAATACCACCATGGCGACAATGGCAGCAAGAGTGGTATTCGTGGTACACAAGAACTTTTCGTAGCACACAAGAACTTGCTCATGCCAAAATCATATTCTTTGTAGAGCTGCTAGTGTCATTCGTCTGGCGAGTAGTTCTACTGCTACCTTGCAACGATGTACAGTGATTTTCGTGGTGATCAGCACACGCATTCCCTTTGTGTCCTTGTTGTCATTATGGGAGAATGGGCACCAAAACCTTATTGAAATCATCCTAGACCCACCCATCTTATTTTCGCACCTCGCTCAAGGTGTGGCCCAAACGTGTCGTGTCAGCCCCAATTTGTTGGTAGATCCTCCTCCAGCAATGGCAGCAGAGAAGACCCAGATCATGTGCGACGACTCCGAAGTCCGTCGACTTCAGGTGGGTAGCCCGGGGCCGTACTTTTTAGGGTTGATCTAAGCATACATAATAAACAAATTATATATACATATATTTCAAGCGTTTGTACATATATATATATATACACATTATATCTGTATATGTATATATATATACACACACGCTTATTTGTTTACGTTGTTTTTTTCAAGGTTCACAAGAAGACGCAGCTTTGCAAGTTCTTCGAAGTCGGCGCCTGCACGCGGGGCTCGAACTGCGCCTTTGCGCATGGCGCCGCACAGCTCCGCGAGCAGCCCGACTTCTCCAAGACCCGGCTCTGCGCGGACTTCATTGAGCTCCTTAGCAGCTGAGTAGGTAACCTTCTACCTTCTGGAGTTTAGAGAATCCTACCATGCTTGAAACGGTTGACCCTTTTTTGGGGCTAAACCCTAAACCCTGAACCCCTGAACCCTAACCCTAAACCCTAAACCCAACCCTGAAGCCTAAACCCTAAACCCTACTCAGCACCTAAGGCTCGGCCGATGCGAGCGGGGCCGAAACTGCAAGTTTGCCCATGGAAGGCAGGAGCTTCGCCCCGGGTCGGCCGCCAAAGTCGGCCGGCCCGGCCTGAAGGCTTCGAAACCGGGCTGAGGGTTTAGGGGCTAGGGTTTAGGGGAACCCTAACCCCTAAACCTTAGGGTTTAGGGGAACCCTAAACCCTAAACCTTAGGGTTTAGGGGAACCCTAAACCCTAAACCTTAGGGTTTAGGGGAACCCTAAACCCTAAACCTTAGGGTTTAGGGGAACCCTAAACCCTAAACCTTAGGGTTTAGGGGAACCCTAAACCCTAAACCTTAGGGTTTAGGGGAACCCTAAACCCTAAACCCGAAACTCCGAAGGCTCCGAAACCGGCAAAGGCCGAGGCGGAGGAGGCTTCGGCGGTGGTGCAAGCATTGGAGACACTGCGGAAGCGGCAGTTGCACCACGAGTGTGCGGCAATGAACCTCATGCTACTGGGTTCTTGTCAACGAGTTTTAAGGGTTCCTTTAAAGGACCCTTTAAGGGTTCTATAAGGGTTCTATAAGGGTTTAAGGCTTAAGTTACCATAATAGGGATCTATAGTAAATAATAGGGTTTCCTTATTATGGGAAGTTAAATTAGATCCCTTAACCCCTAAACCCTATACTGAACCTGTCTAGATCCCTAAAGGAACCCCTCAAACTGTGGTAACTTTCACTAAATCCCTTAACAAGAACCCTAAACCCTAAATCCTAGCCTGCACCCTAAACCCTAACCCTAAATCCCTCAACAAGAGCCCAGGCTTCAATGCGCACTCGCCGGGCCAACCCCCTTGGGGGCTCTGAAGGGCAAGAGCTCAAAGTCCGATCTTCCGGAGGTTTCCTTCAGCCGTCAGACGACCTGGGAAGGCATGGTTAAGTTACCATACTTGGAGGGTCGGGGGACTTAGTAACTGGTTATTTTGGGGACTTATAAGTACCATAACCCCAATTAGGGTCCCTTTTAGGGTACATATAAGTCTACTTACTACCTACTTACTAAGTCCCCTGACCCTCCAAGTAATTGAGGGGTTCCTTTAAGGGATCTATAACGGTTCCTTTAAGGGTTTTATGATGGTTTAGGGTTTAGGGTATTTAGGGTTCTCTAAGAGTTTAGGGTTAAGGGATTTAGTTTAAATTACGACAATACGGAAACCCTATTAATCACTATAGGTCCCAATTATGGTAACTTAAGCCTTAAACCCTTATAGAACCCTTAAAGGATCCTTTAAAGGAACACTTAAATTATGGCAACTGAACCTAAACCCCTCAAGAAGAAGCCAGAGGCATGGAGACCGCGTCCACGGGATTCAGCCGGGCCTCCTCGGATGCCTCCACCGTGAGCAATCCGGAGCCTGAGCAACCTGAGCCTGGGTTCTTGTTAAGGGATTTAGGGTTTAGGGTTTAGGGAGGGTTTAGGGTTTAGGTTTTAGGGTTTAGGATTTATAGGGTTTAGGGTTTCAGGGTTTAGGGTTTAGGGTTTAGGGCTTAGGGTTTTAGGGTTCTTGTTAAGAAATTTGGGAGTTTCCGAAAGTAGGGGACCCGAATATAGCACCCTAAATGGCAGAATCCTTATTATAAGAATCCCAAAATATGGTACCCCGGAAGTTACCATTGATACTTTCAGTTGAATAATACGGTTTAGGGTTGGGTTTGGGGTTTAGGGTTTAAGAAAATTAATCTGGGTTCCTGTTAAGGAACTTAAGTTAAGTTACCATACTTAAGGGATCCTTGTGAGGGTTCTATAAGGGTTTGGGGTTTAAGTTATCCTAGTGGGGATTTTTAGCACCTAATATGGATTCCTTATTGTAGTACCTTTAGTTAAAACCCTTAACAAGAACCCAGGAGCTTTCTGGCGCCGTGGAACCACGTGAGATCCCTCGTGCCGAAGCTCAGGTCACCGGTTGGGAGGTGCGAGTGAAGAACACGTTCATCGAAGTCCAGGTGGGCGGTTCTCAAAACTAGGGCCCCTTTTGGCTTCCCAAACCAATTATACGATGCGGTATTCAGAGTAGAACCAACATCGTCCACGATTTTGACATCCCAGAGACTCCAATATCCTTTAATTACCTAAACTAAGGAAGATACCTTAAAATAGAGTAGGATCCCTTATATGATTTAAGGTATACATAATCCTTAATTAAGGGATATTGGAGTCTGTGGGATTACCCAGGTCGACGACGAGTGGGTTGTGCCAGTGATGCGTCGGACAAAGTCTTTGCCATGCTTTACAGCGCTGTGAGGAGAAAGCCAAGTGGCCAATTGTGTTTAAGTTACCTGGGGCCCGGTGTGTGTGTGTGCTATATGGAACACTTCATACATAGTATATATATATATATAGTATAAAGAAATGTAATGTACTACGATATAGTATACCTACCTACTTTCAGAGGGCGACAGCATGTCTTTCAAAGAACCGGCGTCTAGCGATGCAGAGAGCACGCGGGCAACAGGGCATGGGCCACGGTACATGACACTGTTCGGTTTTAATTTCAAGGCTGCGTGAGGCTTAGGTCCATTTTTGGAACCAGGTCTTGCAGCGCCCCAGTTTTGTTCTGTTCAGAGCACAAAGTGCTGAACTTTGCCGGTCCCATGACCTGTCTCCGTCTTGCAGCTGTACCGCGACGGAGAGAACATGGAACTGGCACTTCGGCAAAAATTGGCTTAGATGTAGGTTCCTTTAAGAGAGCTGCAGTTCAGTAGCCTCGGCCAATTTCCCACGTCCAGTCATCTGCGAAGTGGGACGCCGCAAGAATCAGGTCCGGATCTACGACTCATTTCATGAGATATGATGTACAGTAGGTAGTGTATAATACAGTATATAATATAGAAGACATAGTCTACCCAAGAACTTGCTCGAGGCTGCGGAGATGCTGAGCATCCCGCTAGCAGCGACTGCCCTCTCAGGCGACCATCCCATGCATCCTGCCTTTTTGAAGCCTGGTGGTCGGGCGAAGAAGCATTTCGCAGACCCTCAGTTGTTACTTTAATTTGACACCCACGTGGCTTCCAGAGGCTTCTTGCTGTTCTGTGTGCAGCAGTAAAGCTAAGGCTCATATCTGTTAGAACTTCAACAGTGAGCCGAGAGAAATCACCCGTGGGGTCCTCGAAACCTGGGTTTGTGCCCGATCTCTGCAGACTGACACACCTAAGCTGTGGCTCTGCTTGCTTTTAGCAGGTTCCTGTACAGCTGCCGAGGCCTTCGAGTGACTGCTCGGGTCTATTTTTATTCTGCGACCGCAGTAGAAGACCTCGGCCTAACCTGAAGTCTTTGGAAACCCTAAGCCCCTAAACCCGGAACTCGTGGCCGACGGTCCGTGGCATAGATCTTGCATCGGCACATCTAAGGATAGAGCACTGGTGATGGACATAGACCTATGCCACTGAACCAACGCCTGCTGAACAGAGAGTTCTTTCGCGAGAGTCGCACAAACGAGTAGGGGCAGAAGTTCCTACCGTGGCGATTCAAACTCGCTGAAGTGAATTCTCTGGTGGTATCCTGTGCTTGCACCAGTGGCAACAGGGCTGTGCGCATTGTCGGCGGTAGCATACTATCCCAAATGCTGAGTGTCCCTGCCAAGCCCTCAACCCCACGAACATATCCTAAACCTTAACACTCCCGAAAAGCTTGCAATCCTGCACACCTAAACCCTAAACCCCCAAAAACCCACAATCCTGAATCCCTAAACGCTAAACTCGCAAAAAAGGCCCAACATGCCAAGAGCAAGGCAACAACCCTACAATCCTGCACCCCTAAACCCTAAACCCTAAGCTCCTAAACCCTACACTCTCAAAAAGTCAAGGACGCCCACCGTCGGCCCGGTGACCATCTGGGATGCTCCCTGCCTCAGGGCCGAGGAAGCGAACCGCGGCATAGCTCCTGGGACTGCGGTTTAGGGTTTAGGGTTTAGGGGTTAGGGTGGGTTTGAAAACTGTTGCTTGGAGGTTCATGTGTAGTTATAAGGACTCCTTTAAGGGCCTATTTAAAGGGATCTATAGGGCATCTAGAAGGGTTCAGGGTTTAGGGTTTACTTGGAGGTTCATGGGTAGTTATAAGGGTTCCTTTAAGGGTCCGCTTAAAGGGATCTGTAGGATTCTATAAGGGTATAGGGTTTAGGGCTTACTTGGAGGTTCATGGGTAGTTATAAGTGGGGGTATAGGTAGGGTAACTGTAGTTATAATTAGGAGACTTATAACCCCACTTGTAACTATCCATGAAGCTCCAAGTAGGGTTTGGTGGATCCTGTTCAGGGTTACTATAAGGGTATCATAGGGTTTGGGGTGTAGGGCTCTAGGGTTTAAGGTTTAGGGTTTGCGGACTGTTAGGGTTTGCGGGGCTTTGGTAATTACCTATACTTTTTTGGGGTTCCTTATTCTAATTATAGTATCATGGGCCCCAAACCCTATCCTAATTATTAAGGCCCCTACGTCAGGGTTTGGGGGCTTTCGGGCAATGGTCTTGGCAGGTTTTTAGGGTTTGGAGTATCAGGTTGTGGGTGCAGGGTGTTGGTTTAGTGTCTACCCAATAACCTCCTTGCTCGACTCGCATCAACAGGTGCTTTTCTCATCTGCATATCGTTGGCTCCGCGACGGTGCTCTGTTCTCCTTTTGAGTTGTGGCTTGTGTGAAGCCGGTGTCGTATTCACAAGGTTGCTTCAAGTTGTTCGCCTTCGATTGCTAGATCGTTGTGTGAAGCAGTAGTTTGGAATATCGGTTGGTATTACCCGCTATCAATGTCACTATGATGATGGTCGTTTTCGTTACTGTAGTAGAGCTACTATAGTTTTTCCTGAACGCCTGTGGTTGGCTTTGCT